ACAATATTGAATATAAAACTAGAGCATAAGCTTTAATATTTAGGTTTCAAATAGGTGATTCCAGTTCATTAAAATTTGTGAATCGCACAAGTTCCAGAGAACATAGCAAAGAAAACAGAAAGGACATCCTATGTATTTTGGTCAATAGAAGTGTAAGTCAGAGATTTGCTTTGATTGTATTATTCTTTGATTTAACAGAATAGAAGCAGTATAATTAAGAAAATTATAAAATAAAGAGGAAGTAAGATTTCAACCATTCTTTGAGTCTATGCTATTTCAGGATCGTAATTGTTTTCTCTTGAAGGAATATAAGTTAAATTGCATGGTCTATTTAATCTACGTAAGTATTTTAAAGGATTAAAATATATGAGGAAAATACTTTATATTTTTTTCCATGGAATGATGATTATGGAATTTCCTAAATCCTACTAATGGAATTGTAGTATGGTCCATGCAAACATCTTAGACTGGGGAATCAGAGAAATCTAGAATTTAATTCTTAACTCTGCTAGTAAGAATTCCATCTGCATGGCTTTACTCAAGTCATTTGTCTAGCTGGGCCTCAATTCACCCATCTACAGCATAATGCAAAATTGTTTAGTGTTGAATTTGCTCTGTAGTTTACATATGATAATTGTACCCAAATTTCTTAGTCTTTGTTTCAAACCAACCAGCTGGTCCTTGGAAACCCTATACAGGGTTACTATGAGACTGGAAACCCTATACAGGGTTACTATGAGACTGAACTGACTTGAACTGCACTTAGCAACAACAAGACCCATTTAGAAGCTCTGGTAGTAAAGTGTTTATGTGTGCAGCTGTTAGCCCAAAGATCTACAGTTCAAACCTTCCAGTCACTCCACAGGATAAAACGAGGCAGTCAGCTTTGTAAAGATTAAAGTCTTCAAAATTCTATGAGGCAGCTCTACTCTGTCTTACAATGTGACTATGAGACTGAACCAACTCAGGTACCATGTTTGGCTTTGTGGTTTGGCATCCACTTAATAACATGTGATAGCTGGTATCATAGTTTTCTTCACAAGCTTAGTATTTGTGGTGTTTTACTCAAGAACTTCACATTTTCTAACAGTCTGAAAGTTGAGGAACTACATTTTTTTTGTTGTTAAGACAATGTTTTATTTATCCAGATCTTTGAGGTTTTGGTAAAAATTTTAAATTCTTGATTTTTGTCTTTCTAGTATCTATCTTCTATGTTGTGAAATCACCTCATTGGAAACACACAACCAGTTTAATTCCCTTAGGGTATAGTTAACAGAAATGTCTATTTGAAAACTCTTGGATTCAGCGCTTAAACCTCTTACTTTTTCCTCTATCTTCTTTCCCATTCCCTATAATCTCTGGTAGAGAAGTGGTTACAAATTGGACTGCGAACCTTAAGGTCAGCAGTTCAAAACTACTAGCTGTTCTGCCGGAGAAAGATTGAGGCTTCCTTCTCCCGTGAAGATTCACAGCCTCAGAAACACTGTACAGGGCCTCTATGAGTCAGAACCAACTCCACACCACACCACCACCACCATACTGAAGTAGATAATTGCTCTGATAAGACAGTTTTTGTTGTTGTTAATATGTGTCATCAAGTTGGTTCCAACTCATAGCAACCCCTGGATAGAGTTTCTGAGGAATAGCTGATGGGTTTGAAGTGCTGACCTTGAGGTTTACAGTCCAGTGCTGATCCTACAGCGCCACATCAGGAGTCCAATAATAAGATATGGTAAGGTATAAAAATTACTTTCATTCGCAAATCACATATTTGCTCTACAGAAAAGATCAGAGCCATCAAGTATGCCTGGAAATTATATCAGCATGGCTGTAAGCAGGAAACACAGTCAACTTTCTGACTAGTCCAAAGTGGAATGTAATCTCAGAAATGCATTTTTAAGTTTCCTTACAGCATAGAATCTCAGGATTCACTGGACATAATTTCAATAAAATAGTTGTTGTGATGGTTGTTAAGTGCCATCTCCTTGGTTCCGGCCCATAGCGACCCTGTATAGGATTTCCCAGGAGTAGCTGGTGAGCTTGAACCACCGACCTTGTAGTTAAAATGGCTTTGCAGTCTGGCGCATTAACCAACAGTGCCACACCAGAACTTTAATACAAATCTATCATAAAGGAGCTATAGTTATGCAGTGCTTAAGCACTAGCTAGCCAAAAGATTGGGGGAAAGCTGCTGTAAGAGAGAAAGATATGACAGTTGGCTTATGTCAAGATTAGACCCAATGAGACCCTGTATGGCAGTACTTCTCTGTCATAGAGGATCACGATTAATCAGAATCCACTTTGTTTGGTTTAAGTGTCATATAACATGTATGTGCATAAGGAAAAGAAAAATCATTAAAAGTCTGGTTTGGGATTTAGTCCTTGCTGGTGATTTGAAGCATCATTTCGTTTCACATAATAAAATGCTTACATTTTCACATATAATCAAAACTTTAATAGTTAAAATATCTTAATACTTTGCGTCAATGAGCATTCTATATCAATACCACGTTCATGTAGTTGAACTAGGTCTATCGAAAATTTTGTCAATTTTACCTATTTTTTGGTAGAGATGACAGCATTTTTCCAAGTTCAGACTACCTCTAGATTTTCTAAACAATTTAACAGAGGCTTTTCAAGTTAAAACATAACGTTTTAAAATGTCCACCATTGAAGTTTTATCTCAGACTTACATATGAAGAAACTATTAGAAATTCAATGCAGCTTATATGTTTTTTCATATATTAGTCAATTTATACTTGGTAATAGATTTTTATAATAGATTTCTTCAGTAGACTAATTGTTTATATATTAGAATAATGCATTTGTATATTAGATTTCCTTTCTCTGTGTTTCTTCATATCTACACAATTCCTGTTTTATCTCTGAGTACCTTCAGTAAATCTTTTTGTTTATGCTCTATGAATTTTTTAAAGAGAAAACATAAAACAGAGAGCTAGACCAAAAAAGAGAGAGAGAGAGAGAGAGAGAAAGAGAGAGGATGGAAGATTTTTTTTTAAGAACTATGATTTTTAACAATTTCAAAGAATGCATTAATACATTTTTGTCAATTAATTCCTTCAATAATGAATGTATTGGCATAACTATTAAAATATCATTATAAATGATAACAATAATATATTTTTACCTATATTCTCATGTTATATAAAAATTACCTGAACTTACACAGAACTAGCAATCAAATTTAATTATATATTTTAAATTAGAGTTTTCTAAAGGTCAAATGAGCATTTTTTGTTAAGTAATCTTACAATTATGAAGTTATTTATTATAGGTATTAGGAAAATCTCTGACATGAATCTGTGAGGAGCGTTTCTGAGAAAAGGAACATAAAAATAGACAATATCCCAAACCTAAAGCTATTGAGGTAAAATCATTTCCGACTCATAGTGACCCTGTAGGAACCTAGAGAGTAGATTTGCTCATGTGATACAGCAAGCTGAAATCATTGAGAAACCAAATTGCCATAGCTTCATTCTAAGAATCAGCTTGACCTTACTACTGGCTCAGTTTTAGGTTAGCATTCAAGTCACAAGGCGCCACCAACACTCCTTATGAATAGAGAAATTATCTTCAAATTGTCATTAAGTTAAAACTTTAACATCAATAATAATGACAAGACAAATCTGGAAGTGTAAAAATTGAAAACTTAATATGTATTTTAAAAAAAAAATAAGAAAAAGGAGAGTGTCCTATTTTTGTTTATAAATAAGATGCTTCTGTTTCCTGAGTACTTTCTGTTGCCCTGCTCCTCACAAAACTAGAAATGACAATGGAATGGGATAATGAATAGAAAAGAACATACAAACTGGTTGAGTCATTAAAGGCTGTCTTGTAATCAACATGAAATATAAGTCTAAACCATTGTATTCTTGTCATTAGACAATATTTTGAAATTAAATGATTTTGACTGAATTTTGTTATTTAACTGTAATCCATCCTTTTGTAGTAAGTAATATTGTTCTCATTTTACAGTAGTGGACATTAATGAAAGATGTTTACATTTATGTATATTCAGGAAAATATTACATTCAACTATATAACATGTTTTTAGACTTCAATTTTTTTTCTGTCCATTGGTCTTTGGAAATTATGGAATGGATTTTAGTTGTTTTATTTTAGTTTGTTCGCTTGTTTCTTTCTTCTTACCTAACAAGCTTAATAAACAAACAAATGCAACCATTTCTTCTTTTTATTTACAAAGGAAATTGCATCCACATGAACTCAACCATTTTGTCACTGCCTCTCCTATCTCAGGAGTCCTGGTATGGCACTATGGGTTAATGCGTTGGACTGCAAAGTCAGTTTGAACTGCAAAGTTGGTTGTTTAAGCTTACCAACTGCTCCTTGGAAATCCTGTAACTATGGGTTGACACTGATTCGATGACATACAACAACAACAACATCCTATCTTAGGAGTTCTAGTGTGGCTCTATAGGAGAAGCATTAGACCACAAGCTCTGCATTTTAAACTTGTTAGCTGCTCCTCGCAAACCCTTACAGGGTCACTAAGAGTTGGAACAGAGTTGATTACACTTAATAATAACAAATTTCATCTCTAGTGGGAAGTAATGGTTCAGTAGTAGATTCCTGCCTTCCAAGTGGGATATCCAGGATTCATTCCTGGCCATGTAACTCTAACTGTAGCTACTTCCATTTCTCAGTGGAAGTCTGTGTTTTCTGTGATGTCCAATAGGTTTCAGTGCAGCTTTCCCATTAAGATCACTAGGAAGACAACTTTAGTGACATACTTTTAAACATCAGACAATGAAAGCACCGTAAATCACAATGGCCCAATCACATTGTGCATGGGGTTTCTGTGCATTGAATGTCAACTTAAAGGAAGCCATAAAAAAATGCATCACTGACTGAGATGTTATCACCCATTTTTAAAAAACAAACATGGAAATGTGATTGGGTATACTCTGTTTTCACAGGATATCAGGACATTGGATTTAGGATCAATAAAAATCAACAGAATGTCAGTGTTGTCCTCAACGCTGGATTCCTATAGGATTCAGTTGAAGAATACTTCTGAAGTCACCATGTTTATATTGCTGGGCTTCACAGATGACATTGTGCTGCAAGTCTATCTCTTTTTATTATTTCTTGTAATCTATATTTTTACTCTGGTGGGAAATTTGGGACTGATTTTATTAGTCATCATAGATTCCCGACTCCACAACCCCATGTATTATTTTCTGAGTGTATTATCTTCCATAGATGCCTGTTATTCTACAGTTGTCACCCCAAAAATGTTGGTTAATTTTCTAGCAAAGAATAAAACCATCTCTTTATTTGGATGTGCAACACAGATGCTGCTCTTTATCATTTTTGGGACCACAGAAAGTTTTCTTTTGGCAGCAATGGCATATGATCGCTATGTAGCAATCTATAACCCACTTCAGTATTCAATTATTATGTCACCCAGAGTTTACGTGCCACTCATCATTGCCTCGTATGTTGGGGGTATTCTGAATGCTAGTTTTCACACAGCAGCAACTTTTAGCCTCTCTTTCTGTGCATCCAATGAAATTAAGCATGTCTTTTGTGATATTCCTCCACTTCTTGCAATCTCCTGTTCTGACACTTATATCAACCAACTTCTCCTCTTCTGTCTTGTGAGTTCTATTGAGATATTTTCCATCTTGATTGTCTTGATCTCCTACAGTTTCATTTTACTGGCTATTCTGAGGATGCGTTCTGCTGAAGGGAGGAGAAAAGTATTTTCCACCTGTGGCTCTCACCTAACTGGAGTGTCAATTTATCACGGAACAATACTCTTCATGTATGTGAGACCAAGTTCCAGCTATGCTTTGGACCATGACATGATAGTATCTACATTTTACACCATTGTGATTCCCATGCTGAATCCCATCATCTATAGTTTGAGGAATAAAGATGTAAAAGAAGCAATGAAAAAATTGTTTCAGAGACTTGGGTTCATAAAGAAAATACATTCTTCTCATTGAGCAAAACTGAATAAAATGTTGGATGCTAATCCATATATCTGTTATAAGTATAGAAAAAGTCTTTCTTTTAATTAATAGTGCCCATTTATTACTGAATACTTTCAAATGTGGCATTATAGGGTATGCACTGGACTGTGGACCATAAAGTTTGCAGCTCAAATTTACCTGCTGCTCCTTGGAAACCCTATGCAGGGTCGCTATAGTTGGAACTGACTATATGGTACTTAACAACAATGACAATTCTTTTAATGTAGAACTTTACAAGTGTACATCAACTGTATCATCCAGATGTTTATAACATTATTTTGAAATTGACTCATATTGAACATTTATTTATGCTTGTATATTTAGAAATTTATATATATATATATAAAGTCTGATTTTCACTTACTGTAATATTGATGTCCCCAGGTTTAGTACTGCTTAACATTGCTTATCATCACTCTTTGGAAGTTAATGAATTTGACAAAAAATTATCTCTATATAAATATTAATAAATTGATCAGGCTAATCAAAAACATATAAAAGACTCAAATTATGAATAGTAGGAATGAAAAAAGGGATATCACAATAGTCTGCATACATATTCATGGAAAGCTAAGAAAATATTATAAATGATTTTTTGTTAATATATTTGGTAATTTAGATGAACTAGATATTTCTTCAAAGATTCACACCAGAAAAAAAAAAAAAAAAAAAAAAGGTTATCCATTACATAGGTATTTTTTAATGGAAATTTAATTTGTGTTTTAAAATTTTTCTAAACACTAGGTAAGTGGAGAAGGAGATTGCAGACTGAAATCTCTGATATTTTCAGAGGGAAAACACCACAATTAATGTAGGGTGCAGAGTCATAGCAACAAGGAGAGGCACAGCAGAGGAAGGATTTGACAAGATAGTGGAATCAGTAGGGTCCATGCTCCATCCATTGAGCAGACTAAAGGGTCTACACTATAGCCAGTGGGAGAGAGGTGCTGTGGGGAGTTCTGAGCAGAGCTTGGAGTAGAAGAGGGCTGTTCTGCCCACCAGGGGAAATTTCACAGTAAGTTCCACCCTTGATGAGGTGACACAATGAGTTATTATACTAGGTGACTCCAACTCTAGTAAGATCACT